GTATTCTCCTTGATTTTGGTTGAGCTTATACCCTTATATTGATAGAGCCTTCTCCCAGTTCTAAGATTGCACTTCCATGGACATATGATTTTTAATGAACAATGAGTGTCCGGACATAGTGTTTAAGTTAAACCATCAAAAGGCTTTTCTTTTAGACCGGAGTGTCCTTTGAGGATGTGTTTGTGAATTCGGGTAACCATTTTCCCCAAAACACCTCTCCTACTCACGAGACTTTATGAGAGGAGATAGTGTGCATTTGTGCAAGTTGAGAGACCTCGGCTCTTGATATTGTATCACATGTGTGGTAACCCGTTTGTTGGTGAGATGGGAGTGCAAGATGGGGATTGGTGCTTGAGAGATTAGGACTCACATTTGAATGTTTCACCTTCCTATCCTATTCCATCCTCTAAACCATCACTTTCCCTACATGAGGTTGAGAAAGAGAAGTCAATGTGAGTTTTGCTCTTGTCCATGAGATTGAGATCCTTGTTTTGAACAAGAAAAGGTGTGATGCCATGTGTGTGTGACAATGTTAAGTTGAGGCTCAAAATGTGATCCCTTTCAAGTAGGATCATTGTTATTGAGTCCACTATTTTCAACACATTTTTTAGTGTCATTTCGTGCGCACATGAAGTGTCTAGACCTTTTTAGTCAGCAAGGTCCCAATCTCAGTTTGTGGTTCACTTTGAGATGGAAATGGGATTCCTTGTCTCTGGTTGACCTCGTAAGTTGCTAGTTACCCTCTATCGATGAACAAAAGTTGTATACTGTTGTGGGAGTTTAGTAAGTTGTACTGCTTTGAGTCAGGTTTTCTTAGGCACAAGAAAACGGTTAAGTGTAGGGAAGTTTGATAAGTGATAAATTGTATATGTTTTCTCCCTCATTTCTTAATCGATTTGGCTTTCCTTTGGGTGCTCCTTGGCCTATTTTACACTAGGTTGTGTATATTTATCACATTTCAGGTCCTAGTAGGCAAATTGAGGCATAGGAGCAAGTTTTGGGTCAATCAAAGTTCGTTTGGCGACTCAAAAGTGGACCAGAGGAAGAAACACGGGCTGCCACATTTCATCTAGATAAACAACGATTAAAGCATTTGATTAAAACTATTGTCTAGGTAGCTTCATCTAGATGATCATTCATACTATCTCATTAATGATACCCATATATGCATCTCTTCTATCCGATGCCCTCTCCCTTCCGCTAATGCATTCCTAACCTAGCTTTTGCCACATGCGAGAGGAACTACTACTAGTTAATTCATGTTTTCTCTTAATGCCACTAACTAATCAATCATAAAAAAGAAAGTAAGGATAGCATTTTGCTATTTAGGGCCCCTATAGACCATATCATTGGTTTATGGTATTAGTGATCTATGTATCAAGCATCGATCTCATACAAGCATGCATAATTGCGTCCAACTAAACATACATGCATAAGGCAATAACATATCACATCAGAAGAGTTTCCTATGCAACCTATGATGATATTATAATCAACACCATAATAGAACATAATAGATGATTAAAGCATCAAATGACTATCTCATTAATCATAGAAGAGTTTCCTATGCGAGTTGTGCATGCCCAAAACCATGGTGAGGGCATGTTCTATGAAGCTCTTAGAAATATCGCCAAGCCTCATACATAGATTTAAAAGGACGCCTAAAGCAAGCGATCTGGTTTCTTCAATAGTCAATTTTCCATGGAGGGGAGAACTCTTCTATGCAAGCTTGGACCAGATCGCCCCACATACATAAGGTACCTAGAGTTTGACAATTTAGCCATCTCTTTGATTTCCCCTAGATGGAGAGGAGAGAGATGTAGCAGGATTGCATATGGCTCAACCCGGGGTATTGTACAGAATCATATATCTCCATAAACTTTTTGATATGTTTGACAAGATTTTTGTTATCCCTCCCTTCAAAACGTCCAGTATTTTGGAATGTGTGAATTGTGCAAGTCTGCAACTCAAAATTTGGGATAGTAATCGGGGGTAGGACTATGTTGGAACAAATGTTCAAAACTTGAAACCTTTTATACTCATATAGATTTCATGCTGACATGCCTCTAGGTCATGCTAGTTCGTAAGGGGGTCTATTGCTTTCCGCTTCTAAACTCTGATCGAAGAGGATCAAGGCAAAGAGTTGTGAGCTGCATTCCCTTAGAGAGGCTCTTTTTCTAGCTAGTGGTGTTCTAGATTATGACGAATCATATATACCACTATGATAAAGATGACCCTGGGCTGCCTATTTGAGTTTTAGCTTATGGATTCAGCCCCAAGTCCATGATGTGCTCGTATGCCGAAGCTGCCATTTGAAAACTCTCACACGACAAGTCTTTGTAAAGTGGGACCAAAGTTTACCAATTTTGCCAGAAATTGGCACGCTGGCCGCCGATTGTGTACCTCTTGTGTTTGACTTTAGACTCTGACGATAACCTACCAACATGAAAACTACATGAAAAGAAAACCAAAAATAGACAAAATACGAATATCGCAAAAATAGATACGAAAAAGGATAAAAACAAAAGCACTCTAAACAAGTACACATAACAAAAGATTAAAAATAATAATAATAATATAGGTAAAAAAGAAAGAACACACACCTTACTCCCTTTCATAAAGAATCGTGAAAGCCTCCAGCAACACTACCAAAATTTGATTTGTTGTAGAACATGGATCGAATTTTCCTGGCTGACAGGTAACTGGTTGTATTTCCTCATGACCTTTCATGTTCCCCTTACTCAATTAACAAAAGACTTATTCTTGGATTTAAGAAATAGAATGTCAAGGTTGAAGTTACTCCGAAGTTGAGGTTCCTCTTCATTTCCGCAACAAACAAAAGAAATTAAAAAAAAAATTAGACAAGGAAAATAGAAGAAAAATGACTTACATAAGAAGGCCCCCTTACAGTTTTCTTAGACTCGCTTTGATATGATAAATGAAAATAGATATGTGTTTGGGGGAATCCAAACGTATTTCTCCAGTATGCTTTGATATCCCATTTTTTATGGAAATGATCTCCGTATGGATTAGGGAGACATGTGGGTCGGCTAATGATTCAATTGCTATGTCACATAACAAAGTTTGCTGCCAAACGTGTATTGCATTCGATGTGCGCTTAATGATAAGGGCTTCCTTATTATCCATCCAATATAAACATAAATTCAAAGATATTCCAAATGCAATAAACATAAAAAGTTGAACTGAAACAGGCATAATATACATCAAGACTTGAACTATACATCATCCAAGGAACTCTAGGGTTCTCCAACCTACGCAACTAACAAACTAGCCTCTAATGGGGACAAAACCTAAGGGGTACATCAGTCAAAATGACGAGATATGCAATGGCAGCCTAATTATAAAATTGGCAACTAAGGCGTCATTATAGCCAACATTTGACCCTCAAGCCTGCTGATCACTTTCTAGTATTGGTAAGGTGCTTTAATGGAAGTAACCCCCTATAAGACTTTATTCTTGAATGATGGCCAAGAGGGTCTAGATATAGCCTCTTCCATAAGATTTTCTGAGAGATGTAGTAGAAAAGAAAGTCTTCTGGCCAAATCTCTCTAGCTTATCTCCATCTTAGCTTTCAAGTAATGAATACATGCACAGATCTGGACTGATATGGGTCATCTGGAAACTGGTGGCCGATGCGCCAATTTGGGCTATGATCGACTAAATGGGCCACCATTTTTTGAACTTGGCTTCCAGCTCTATTTCTGACTTACACCACTTGGACCTTGATTCTCTAGCTCGTGCAAGGTGTCCACTAGGATACATTAGCCTAAAAGCACATGAAAACTACCAAAAGGGCATCAAACACTAAAAGTATTCCTAAAAGCTACTAAACACACCTTAAAGCAATTTCAAGTCATTATGGCAATAATCATATGAGATCTATTTAAAAAACATGCCAGAATTTAAAAGAGAGAGACAGACCAGGAGAGATGGAGGGTGCTTATGTTATGAATTTCTTGTTCAGTTTGATACAACACACTAGCTTTAAGAGAATAAAGAAACTATTACCACCCTTCTAAGGGCCTTAAATGAGTGACCAGAAATTGAGAATTGTCCAGAGGAAGAATCCCAAAATTGCACCTAGGCCGCCGAAGTTATTAAAAATGACTCCTTAACAAAGTCCTCAAGACGCCTGAAAGTACCCAGAACGACAACAATTCATCATTACCAAAAATGTTGTATTAGGAAATAGTGGTATATGTTTTCGGCATTTCAACATTGGCGTCAATTTGTGAAACAATCATGTCGACTATAAGAGTGCAAAGGGTGGAAGAAATACGAGAAATCTAAGTTCATATTCTTCAAGTTTAACAAGCACAGTCAGGATAGCAAGAGGAAACAAAAGAGATGGCAGTCGCAACGACTTGAGTAGCAGTGGCCATTGGGAAGTTGTCGTTGGCAACAGAGTTTGTGGCAGGCAATGCGAGCAAGGGGAAGAATGGATTTTGAAACGAAGATAAAACTTCTATGTTGTGTAATTATGGTGGGGGTTTTGACCAAATTAATTCAAATATTTTTTCCTCAATTATTTTTTGAAATTTGAATGAACAAATAAATAATTTTAGAAGACGTGGTAGGTACCTGACAGCCACATCAACACCTCAACTGAGTCATTAACAATCAACTTACTTGATTGTTACTACTTATAAAAGTAGGTTACATTTATCTTTATTCAAAGTTGGGGCAACAATTGTCCATTTGTATAAATTTGGAACAATATTAGGGTATTTCGTAGAATACACACCAAGAATTTTCTTATTCTTTTCTATCTTCGTAACATTGATATGGAATCTGACAAGAGGATTAACGAATTGAATCCAATATTTTACCGCGGCTGAGGTAAACCATTGTGGATATAGGTAAACCTCAGCTGAAGCCCCTTCAAGTTTAGAGTCAATTTCTACAGTTCCTAATGAGCAAATAAGTCCGCTTACATCTATCAATATCTGCAACAACAAAAAAACTACACAAAAAAAAAGAATCTTTGGTTGATTGCTTTTCAGAATGTTGCAGATTGAAGTGGGCGTCAAAACCTGGACAAGGCAATCATGAAAACTGTACACTCCATTCTTCCAACAGATCCAACCCCCAACCCTCCATCAACAAAGATATACTAACCAGAACGAAGCAAAGCGCTTCTGGTACGGCAGAAAAGCTTCTAAATCAAATTTCCCCATCACGCTTTTTGCTTTGATGAAGATGATATCAAGTGATGCAATGTCGCCGCCTGGATAACGGCGCTTGGATTTGAATCCTTAGCACGCATAGAAGTAGATCGACTAGGAGTGAAGTTTCTGTCAATGCCACTTTTGACAAAGCGCCGCAACGGCCGCGGAAGGTGTCGTAGCAACCTTGTGGAGCTCACAAGTAGCAGCACACCCACTACAATAAGCAGCCTGGCACCAAGCATTAGATTCAGTTGAGTGAGGCATAAAATGTTCGAAAGTCATCCTAACAAGGGAAACTGTATACATTACACCTATATAAACACCCAAGTTACCCCCAGCCAATGACAGAAAAAAGCTATAAACAACAAGCAATAGGACAGTGTAGAGACCAATAGTGACCAGTCACCACCTCTTTTGCTTCTAATACCCATCATGAGATTCCTAGGACTACATTGAACAATCGATAGTCACAAAAGCAAGCTTAATAATCCAAATTCTGGGAAGTTACCAGCCAAGCAGAAGGGAAAGACGAGCAGCAGGGGCAGAAGGTAACCGCTCCCCCAAGGCAAGCATTCCAGCTAGCACACCAGTCACTATTGATGCTACAGCAGCACAAGTGGACACCACAATCGCTCTTCCATGCTTTAGACCAGTTGTCTGTTACATGTAAAAATGTAGTAACTCAGTTTGCCTCTTGAAAGATTTGATGTATTCAGCAGCAGCTTTAGAGGCTTAAAGTTGATGCAGCCAACTTTAGTCACGTGCAGCATTGAAGAAGATGAAACAGACCTGATAATAAAATCCAATCCCACTGCAGCACACACTGATTGAGATGCATACAGGAACAAGCAATCTGGATAACCCTTGTTCCAAGAAGACAAATCCCATCTTTGATATCACAGAAGAGATCCTGCAACTAGAAATATTAGCTCCACATATGGGATGTTCAACCAAGCTCAATGGTGATAGCATTTCATGAGCCTTCAAGCCAACCTCCAAGCCAAGAATGCAGACCTTTTTATTTTAATGTTACCAAGAACCAAGTTCTACTTTTATCCTCGGGCTCCAATTTTAAACTTGAATTCCTTTACAAAAGGGTAACAGTTGTACTAGCAAGTAACATGTCACTGGACAAGTAACTCCTATAATTGTCCAAAATTCTTTGAAATCCAGTTACAAACCTAACTCTCAAAGAATGTCAGTCAGACTACTTCAGCTTCTTGTTCGACTAAGTGACTACATTTTCGGTAAAAGTTGTGATAGGAGTTTTACCCAAATAAAATGCCGGATTCCAGGCCATATATAATTTCTTCAACCACTTCATATTCCATCTACAAAAACATAGAAGATAATACAGAAAAAAAAAACAGATTAAAATCGATAACAAGGAAGAGTAATGCTGAACAGCCCTTGAAATTCAAAATAGAAAACCTACAGTATCTTGTTCTCTTCGTTGTCGCCTGCAAACCCGAAGCCATCCATTCAGCACTACCTATCAGAAAAATTGATGGTTAATTAAGGAGACAACAATCGAAAGTAAACCATCATCTTTCAACTAAAAACTCCCACCATAGAATCACCAAAAAGGGTAATTTACTAAATAACAACCAGAATATGTTCATACAAACATCCATATGAACAGCCCATGCCCCCAAGGCTTTAAGTTTGCATGCCCAACATGTTTTCTTCTCACACTTGACTTCTAATAAATTTGCTATGCTTTTGAGGAATATTAGCTAATTAGGTCTTGGAAGCTTTCATCTACAGCAGAAACATGCTACGACTCGGCATTGTGGTTTCTTTTTCCGTTCTAGTTTGTGTTCAAAGTAATGGCGCAGGAGAGAATTATATAGCATGCATTAATACTACTTAAAACATTAGCAACACTGCTTGATGACAAATGAAAGCAGATAAACATAAAGAGGAATTGAAGCAAACAAAAAAAAAAAAACTTCAATTGCGTACAAACTAGCATGTCATCCATGCAGAGATCTGCTACAGAGTTCTCAACCGCCTAGAACAAGCTGTATGATACAACCAAAACAAAATTGTATCGACTGTTCAGTAAAACAACTTATTAGGAGCACAAACATGTAAGTCACTCAAAATTTCAACCAGCAGTGTAGGTAGGTAGTTATGGTTTAGCAAAAATCATATACTTAAGTCAATCAACATAACAAGCCTACCGTAAAAGAAAGAGAAAATAAACTGGCACATTAACACCAACATGTTTAGTTCCTATTGAATGCTTAAAGTGTCAAACAGTGCATCTTAGCAACCTTTACAGGATACTTTAGGTACGAGCAAGACATAATAGGAGCACGTGAGCATTAAGCACTCTAGCCTGATGATTTGAGGAGCTTCTCTAATTGGGAAACTGATGTTAGGCCAGGCCATGGTCTCAAGAAATTGCTCATACAGAAAATATTCTTCACTTCAGATTTCTATATTTTGAAGTAAGTTGGACCGGGTTGACTCATTAGATTCATATAGGCCCTGAATTTGAAGATCTAGGATAAAATTATGCTTGATGGAGTGGCAATCATGTGGTGAGAGTGTAGGTGCTTTGAGGCTGCCCTACAAAAATTTGCAACTTTAATCTAAAAAATAAACAGACAAAATCAATTAGCAGTATCAGTGTTCCAGTTCACCGGGTTAGTCATCCACCCCATTAATTTCCAAACTCTAGAATGGTTTTCTATCTTCCAAGACAGACTGGGTTATATCATGCATAGGATTGCTTTATCAGAATAAGCTATATCCGTGACACAGGAATTCATGGAAGATGGTGCATGCAATAAGGTACCTACAAACAACAAGGCAACCACTACTGCCAACCATGGCAACTGAAATACTGATACAGGAGAAGACTCTTGCTCTTCACCTCCAGCACCAACTCCTACAAAAGAATGACAAGCTGAAATCTCAGTAGCAGACGAATATAATTGAGAAAAGAGAAGTTTAAATGTCAACACAGAGCCATTTGACTGCTTGCGATGAATTCAGATACCATTAGCGTAATTTCTAATATTTACAGAACAAGACAATAAAGAAAACAAAAGACAAGCGAGGTCTATCAGAAATGCAGAGCAGACATTATGACGTGCCAAGGTTCCTATAGGTTATCCATAATACATTAACAACTATAAAAACATCAGGTTATTCCCCCATCGAAGAAAGGTGTACATGGATCATAGAAAACCAGCATAAAATCAGAAACGATACATACCTAGGGTACCAATCCCGGCCAATGTTATTCCAGCCCAATCAATCACATTCATGACTTCCTTCAAATAGAAATGAGAAAAGATGCAAAGAATAGCGAGTCCACAGCCTGAAACTGGTTGAATTACAGATACCTGAGGAATAGACAGCGAACATCATTCAACTGAAAAAAAGTTGGCAAAAGGAGCAGCCAGCAAGTACCATTAACTGAAGACAACCCACATGGTGTCGAAAACCAATCATTTCAGTATCGTGGGACATTGCAGAATTTTCTATACATCTCTTGTTGAGAGCATAGCAATTTGGATAGCATGAATTTTTTTCGTTCTTCTAATAAAGTGCTAAAGCATTTCCTTTTACTCCCTTTCCACTGTTGCCACTACATGGATTTCAGAAAAGGAATGACATTCCGGAGCACAATTCACAAATTTAAAGATGTGACTCACAGGGGCCTGAGATATAGCCTTCAGCATCAACATTGCTCCACCTATGTCCATAATAAAACCAGTGACCCACGCTTTGTTTAAGGCATAGGCCCTTATCACCTGCGAATTAAAAACGCACCACTCTCATCAGGCAGTCACAATCAGTTAAATTTACCTTGATGGGCAGTTCATGATACAAAGAAGAAAAAGTATGATGCGTGACCAAGCAACTGGAAAAGGAACGGAATCTACAAAACCCAGAACAACCGGGAAATGGGATCTTCACATCGCAATTGGTAAATCAGAAGTTGGCTAAGAAACGCAATCGCGGTAGCTAAAAGCTAAACTAATCAATCCAATCCTATGGATCGACTCCTATGGATCAGATATTGGAAAAATCAGATTCAACGTAGAATTTATAGCGGGACGAGGGAAAAGGGAAGAAGTGGACGCACCTTGAGCTTCAAAGAGAGAGGAGGGAGGATGATAGTGCCCTTCTTCTGAAGAACCTTGCCGATGTTATTACCGGCGGTGGCCGCCAGCGTCAGAAGGATCGATTCCCACATCTCCGCTCGCCGTAACTTTTCCTCCTCCCGACGCCCTTCACTTTACTAGCAGAAGAAGATTACAAAATCTCCGAACGGAGAAAGAAGTCTTTCCAGGGAGAGATTGCTTCAATATCCTCCTAGATTATTTTTAAGGTGGCTGCATAGAGTGGAGCACTACCCGGCAGGAATACATCAATTACAAGGGCGAACGGGCATTTTGCTGTTATCTCACGTCAAGAAGGCTGTGATGAATTCTTTTTTTTTTTTTTTTTCCTTATAGAGGAGAGGGACTAACTTTGAACCCGGCCAGCGGTGCCGGTGATGAATTTTTTTTTTTTTCCAGAAATGATTTCTCCTTTAATATAAGGACTAATAAATAATTAGGGCGATTAATGAGCCGAGTCGAGCTGATCTTTATCTTGTTCAGGTTTAGCTCGTTAATAAACGAGTCGAGCTCGAATGTGACTCATTAGTAAACGAGTTGAGTCGAGTCGAGCTCGAGTCGACACACTTATTAAAACTTACTTGACTCATCATTAGGATCAGGAGTTCGACTAAAACTCAACTCTATGATAATTTATAAATCAAATCATAATATTTATATCTCATGTATAATAAATGTGATTAATTGATTCCATGTCTATATTTGCTCACATACTCAAAATCTTAAACATGTGAGATATATAATAATTTAATAAACCTATGAATTACCAATAAGCAAACTAATATGATATAGATCGATTTTCTCATAAGCTAATAGTTGAGTTGTCTCACTAATCAAAATATTGAGACATCTCATGAACTCAAAATAAGAGAGTTCAAGAGTTAACTTCAACAAGTCATCTAACCGAATGAGATTTTATCGAGTCGAACGTCGAGTCGTTCATGAGCGGCTTGGTTCATTAGCAGCCTTACTAATAATAATACTACAACATTCTAATGTTAAAAAAATGTCATTTTGCGTTTAATTTTATCTAATATGACAGAATTGTCTTAAACTATAAAGTTTTAGATCATTTGTAACCCAAATATTTTATTGACCGTTAAATTTAATAGTTGACCTAATAGTGATCAAATGTTTGTCAGACTATTATGACATGGTGTTTATATATCAGCCACATAAGTTACCACATCAGCCACATATACTTTATGATTTTTTTATTTTATTAAAAATTAGTTTCCAATTAAGTTGTTTTCCCAAAAATTAAATTACAAAAAAAGTCCAAATCCTTCTCTTCCTATGTAGTCTTCGTCAACCCTATTTATTCCGTATAAAAATGTCAATATCAAGAAAATGAACTTAGGTCTCCTCAAATAAAGACAACGATCACAACCAAATATACTAAATAATTTGTTGTAACTCTTTTAATACAAAAATACATAAAGTGACACTCTGAAAACCGGAGGACTTTTCCATCATGATTAAAAAGTCACTAAGTCTATCGTATTTATTTTATGGTGCTTGATACTGCAATTCTAAAATTGGTAATTGATACTACAAAGATTAAAAAAAAAGTAATATAACAGAGTTTCATGTAGTTTTCTCAATTCTAAAAGTACTGCTCTCCTTAATTTTTCAAAGGTAAATTGGTAATTGACCAACATGGAAGAAACTAATTATATTACTACGTGTAGTCCTTGCATTTTTTTCATTTATATTTAAATTTAGTACTTTTTTATCTTTGTTCTTATCTCTTTCTAACTTCCTCCGAAATTCCCTTCATCGTGTAGTAGTTTGCGCCCCTTTCACTTCATAGTACACCACCGCCTTTGAAAATCAATCTTCTGCTATCTCTTTGCACTATGCTTTTATAAACTGGGCAAGTAGAAGATTTCAACTCCTATATCAATCCATGGCGAATAGAATGGAGTTCAATAAATGGAGTTGCAGAAGGTAGATTGGAAATTGACTTTTTGGTTGAAACATACGCCTCTTGAGATTGAAGATAGAGTGGATAAAATTTTGATTGTACAACGGAGAGTGGTGGCTATTGGATCTTTAGGTTTATGATATTTGCACCTATCGTAACCTATTTTTATCTTAAAATGAGGAATCATTAATTGATTTATAGAAATAGGTCGGTCGATTCTTTATTCAACCTACTGGAACTGATAGAGAAGGAGTCTCTAATTTTGTTTCCTTATGACTTTGATCGAGATTATTAGTATATTGGAGGTAACCCTAATGTTGGTGCTTGCTCTAAAATTTTGATGGTCCCCTCTTAGCTGAGTTGTAAGTATATAGTTGGTTTGAATCAACAACTCTCCATTTCTTTGTAATTAGTGACATGTTGTTCCTAAAAGAGCATTGAACATTTATGTAGGATTGCGAGGTTTAAGATTTAGTTTCAAACTATCTATGGTTCGTGGGGATTTTTTTTTTATAAATCGTGTGGGAATTTCGGTGAGCTTTTATACTCTATCTTTCTTGACAATCAACTAACCAATAGCATTTTACCGGAGAATTCATTATCATTATGAAAATGGGATCAATGCTACATTTTTATATTTTTATATTATTAAATGATGATGATATTTGTTCAAATGTTCGACCTATATATTTTTTCTGTATGTATCATCTCGATCGAAAAGATTGTCAATAACATTAAACTGATTGATAGATTTAAATGTGACATAAAAATACAAATAATCAAATATGATTATCCGGGCCAACGGGCCGGTTATAAGCTAGGACATCAATATCCACCATCAAGCACAAGAAATCTAGATCCTTCTCTTCCTCCGCTGTCTTGGCCAATCTCCAAACCTCCTTCCCAATTGTTTTCCGGCAAGAAAGCTTGTGTTGAATTGAGATTGATTTCACCTTTGACTTCTTTGGACAACGATTAATAAGACACGACTCACACTTCTTTAAACAAAGTTCAAACGAGGGTGTTTGATTGATGGTGAAAGGAAACTACAAATTCTAAGTTAAGTTACTCCTACTCCTATGGAGGTTTAGTGAGACCTCCAACTACGACTAAGGCTACATTGCAGAGAAAATGATAAAGTTTGACATTGGGTGTCAAATGGTTGGTTGTGAAACCCTTGCTTCGTCTTCATTTCCCCTATTTATAGCCATCACTTGTAATCGCCTCTTGGTAACCGCTACTCTACTGCTTGATGCTTGATGTAGCTTGCTTGACACCATAACTGCCTTGCGTGCTTGTCACTTGATACCTTGCATCTTGATGCCTTCACTTGATAGCTAGCCCCTTGTGCTATGGAGGTGTCTTGCTTGGTGAGTGAGGGCTTCACGAGGCATAGCATACTTGGCTGACACTTAGAAACTCAAGGACCTTGTCCACTATGTACCATGCATGACTACCCATGAGGCATAGCATACCTACAACTTTTGATGATGGCACGTTGTGTCTACCATATACTCTACTTGGGTACTTGAGAGGTGAGTGGCAAAGCAATGTCGGCACCAACCCTACTTGCATGATGTCATGTTTGACACCCTAGCACAAGGTAGGTAGTCGGTCATGGTACTTGGTGCTTGACCCCCTTTACATGACATCATGCTTTACCCCCTTGGATGATTTCATGCTTGACCCCCTTGTGGTTGAGTCTCAACACTTAGACAAATTTCCTATTTTCCCTCCGAGGAGGAATGAATTCTAGGCGTTCATAGCCTACGTTCTATCTTTTCTTTTTCTTTGTTTTTCTTTATTTCAATTAAAACAATGTTTAATTATCGTTTTTTTTCTTTTTTCTTTTCGTACGTTAATTACTCTAGCACTAGTAGTAGTACTTATTATATATATATATGGCGAGTTCTATCGTACCCCGGGTAAATTCCGGGGTATGGCGTACCTTGATGATCTTAACCGTACGTGTGATCTCGACGGCTGAGATTAAATTTTATTAAATGATTTGTTTTTTCGGAATTTATATTAAATAAAATTACAGATCAACTCATAGAATTAGTTTTTCTTTCATTTTAGTCCTCTATGTCCGTGGGTTGGTTAGTTTGAGTTGGGTTGGGTTTTTTCAATATTTTGATTGAACCCAAATTCAACCACCCCAAAACATAAAGGGTACCTACCCCATCCAACCTACCAGCGCTTCGTTCCCCCCATCCCGACCCTCTCTTCTCCGCTGCTACACGCCGATACCTTAATGCCCTATCCTCTTCCCCTGTTCCTCCGTCCTCCGCCGCTAGACACCGCTAGCCATCTCCCTACCCTTTCTAATCTCCCTTGTCGGCCCCAAATTCATCGCTCACCAACAACTTAGATTCTCCTTGCGGAAGGGATTTCGAATCCTTGCAACCAGAAGAAGAAGGAAGGGTTCTCCTCTGCTCGCTTTTTCTGGCGATTGGCGTTATGGCTTCTCGAACGAGTTGCAGAGACCTTCGTCGAAAGAAAAAGGGGTGACCTCCCCACCGGAGAGTCCTCCCACGACGACACAAATGGTCTTTGATGACCCCGACGCCATTAGCCTCGCTTCCAAGTTCCGTCACTAACAGATCAATGGCGGCGCCTCAATGTTCTATCATTGATGATGTCAAACCTTCCTGGGTCAAGTTCTGCGAATTTTGTTTATCGCACATATTTGTGTTAAAACTAGATATGCCATACCCTCAAAATCAATAATAGGACCATGTTGTATCAGTATGCTATTATGGAAATTTTGGGGATTTATGTGGAGCAGAAAACTGAAGTTTGAATTTGAAAAAAAAAAAGAACTGAAATTTGAAATACGAACAGGAAGAAGACCATCGAAGTGAAGCTTCTGATCGTTTCTCAACCACTCACGAGATGGAATGTGGGCTAACATCATCACACTTATAGTTTCCATAAACTTAGCATACAAAACAAGAAATGTTGGCAAACTTAGTGGTTAAGCTAGTAGTTTACTATTAAGTTTGCTAGAATAGGTGTAGGGTTCGAATACTAGTTTCAACCATTATATTTAGTTTTTTTATAATTATTAGCGGTTTTATGTTTCTTCTTTGAAATCACTTATTCATAGTTGATTACCCTCTCCTTGCTAGTCAAGTTTTTGGAAAAAATTTCATTTTTCTATTTAGAATTTTATTTTACAACTATTCATAAATAGTAATTCTACACGACATGTCATTTTTGTCACACACCACCGTTGTGCCCACCTCCACCTTGCAACTTTGCGTTAACCCAAAACTAGTACAAAGGACTAGTACATCCCAAAACAAACCTTTGCTAAACCACGTGAAAGGGCATTTGTAGTGTAGTCTAGTGACTAAGTTTGAAATTCTGCCTTGACAAACTTATAAATGTG